AGGCAGAAGAAAGAGACCGGAGGGAGGGAGATCTCGGGCCTGGTGCCTTTACTGGGGTCAGTCTAGTGGGCCCCTCACCGGCCCAAGGACAAGGCTGGCCAAACGCCATCTGTCCAGTGCTTGCCCCTGGGCTGGATTCCGCACCCAGGGCACGTAGAGGTCTGAGCCTCCCCCAGGAACCAGGTCTGGCCTGGCGGAGAAGAAAGGGCCTCAGAACTTCCACCAGGGTGGGGTGGGCTAGGTCAGCTGCAGCGGCGCCCGGCCCCTCCCCAGGTGCATAGCACCCTCTCCCAGGCCAAAACCCCGGGTTCCCCTAACTTAGCCGAGAGGTGAGCTCCCCTGGACTGGCCTCCACATTCCTGAGCAGAAAAACCTGTCTGCTACTGGTCTTGGGTTCAGGCCCGGCCTGGGGTGCGTCGCCCCAGACTTCCATATGTTCTGTTTCCACTGGGCCCTGAAACCTGCCCACAGTCTCTTTTCATCCTCTCGACTTTGAGAAATGTGGGTTTCTCTCCCACATGTCCTTTAGCAGCCTCTTTGCATTATCCAGACCCAGAGGCCTGGCTTCGGTGCCATAATTTACAAAGACCCCCACAACCCCAGCTTGAGACCCAGATCTCACACTTGACCACTGACTCAGCTCGCTTTCCCCAGAAAAACCTAAGGTGTATCAAGGTGTCCGGGTGAAGATCACGGTGAAGGAGCTGCTGCAGCAGAGAAGGGCACACCAGGCAGCCTCAGGGGGAACCGTAAGCATGAACCCTTCACTTCCTCCCAGCTCGTGTTCAGCTCATTCAGCCCTGTGTCTGGGAAGGTGTAGGGGGCCACCGTAGGCCCCAGTCACCACCCTCGACCTGGCCTTCCTCAGCTGTTCTTATCATTTCTGTACCCACCACCCTTCATCCTAGTTCACCACCAGAAGCCACAAAGAACAGCTGGGGCATGTTGTGGGGCTCAGGATTTGGGGGATCCCATCCCTCACTGATCATAGTTGAGTATACGGGCGTGTTGGTCCAGTGCAGGGAAAGGAGCAGCCAGCAGTAGGTAGGCTGCTATTCTGTAGGAAGACAGTGTATGTGCCCTCACACATGCAAAGAAAATCTCTCCCAGAAGCTTCATGTTAGGGAGCCTTTCAAGGAGAGACTCTCCATGGAACATGTCCTGTCCTTCCTCATTCTTCTGAAATCCAGCCTCCGAGGTCATTGATCTGTGAATCACCAGGCACTGAAATTCCCCAGCTGAAAGGGGCCCTATAGCCTCAGAGGAGACACCTTGGAATATAGAACCACCTCCTTAAGATGTTATGAAGCCTTAAGCAGTTCCAGGTTATTACGAGATTGATCTGAGCAGTCATAAGGGTACCCTACCACTTTTGGACATCCTAAAACAGAGAGTATTACCAAGAGGGCTCAGGGCAGAAGCAGAATCAAATAAACTAGGTGGGGTTATCCTCCAAGAGAGAGCGATTCATGGCTGAGAGCCCTTGATCACGCAGTTGCCTTTGGGTTGGTTTCGGTGTGGACATCGGATATGGCGGATGGGGTTCGTATTGCCAGTGTTAGGGTTGGTCCTGTCTCCAGCTTTTTGGCATCTGTCCCATAACAGTTTTTGTGTCTGGTGCTGTTTGTGTACAAAGCCCGACTTCATGAAACGGGCCTTTGTGGGAAAAGGCAGATGCTGTAGGAGTGGTGAACACAGATTCTAGAACCAGTGGACTGGGTTCAAACCTCTTCCATGGTGTATCTCCTCCAGCAAGTTACTCAGTCTCTCATGTCTCATTATCCTGATCTTGAAACTGGAGACAATGGGATTTTGTGAGGATTAAATTAAGTTATTGCACATAAGCACTTAGAAGAGTGCTTTCCACTTAGTAAGTGCTCGAGCCATGTTAGCTGCCATTATTACTATTTGGGAAAAGCAGCTAAAAGAAAATTACAACCAGGGATTGAAAGCCAGTTAGTCATGTTCATTTACACGCTTTGCTCAGAGTTTAGAGTTCTGGTGTGAGTTTGCCCTATTACAGCCAGCTCACACCAGCACAAAGTTTACATTTGCTGGATGTAAAGTCAATAGCTCCACATGTACAATTTCAGCTAACACCATCAAACTTCCTTCCAGTTATAGAGGGTTTTCCAGTGGTTCTTTTAAAGCACTTTTGCACACTATTTCTTTTAGTTCTTACAACAACCAAGCCAGGTAAGTAGACCAGGGATTTGTATGCCTCTATTACAGCTGAAGTTCAATGTTTTGTAATTACTAATGGTAGAGCAAAAAGTAGAACCAAGGTCTTCTTAGTCTTAATATTAAAAAAAAAAACTTCCCACCTATTGGCTCCCTAAATTCATCTTTCTGTGGATCCAGCTGTGCTGAGCAGGGGTGGTAGCCTCAACCACTGACCTCTTCAGTTCAGAGATTATTATAAAATTAATAAACCAGAAACAAGGGAACTGGGCTGACAGGGTGGTAGCCTCAAACCACTGACCTCTTCAGTTCAGAGATTATTATAAAATTAATAAAACCAGAAACAAGGGAACTGGCAAACACTAGTGGTATTTAAAAAAAATCAAGACGTTTCTAACCAAATGTAATCTTTCGTTAAGGAGCTTTGATTCCTGGTAGAATTCTGCTCCAGCTGCACTTGGGGAAGTCCCCTTTGCACACTGGCAATTTTAATACTCTTGGCCTCTTACAGGTTGGTTTGGCCACTGTTCCCGTTTCCTAGCTGCTGGAACAAAAGCAAGAGTGTAACATTTCACTCATGTATCTGACCAGTATCTGTTCCCTGGAGCAGTTTGACTTATCTAAGTTTATCTGGATTCCCCCGTAAGAAATAAGCAGAGCTTCTGAACCAGTGCCTCCTTGCAGGACCATGCAGAGCAAAGCCGACCCTACTTTGCTTCCTAGAAGAGTATATCCACCCAGGTCCACACAGGCACGGAGGTGTAACACAAAGATGATTTAATTACAAGAGCCAGATGTAAAATCCCTCTCCAGGGACCATCAGAAGGAGTCGGGATTCTAGGAGAGCTGTGAAGTCTACTGATGAGGAGGCATGGAGGGCAGGTAGCAGGGGATGGTATATGCCTGCTTCTGGTTTAACAGAGATGAACTTCAGTTTGTTCTGTGGTTGAAGGATGTCTCTGGGAAGCTCTAAGCCAAGGAGAGACTTAATGAAATATACAAAGCAAGAAGAAATTTACCATAGTATGTTATGAAGTCAGAGTGGTATCCACAATTTGAAAGTTTAAGAAGGCAGTCATGAATGGGAGTTATAGATTGAAACAAATATTAGGGTCTCAAACAGTGCCAGCAGAAACATGTGCGTGCTAGATTTGGAAATTTGATTTTAAAACTTACTTCGGCCAGATCAATTTACCAACAGCCCTACACACATACCTATACACACATACACAACTCTTTTACCTTTAGGGTAAAAGGAAACTTGAGTTAGTGCACATCAGAAGATACAGTTTACTCTTCTTTTACCATTAATTTTTTAAATAGCCTTTATGTATTTTTGTAAATGGTAGATTGTGGATTTTTATGCTGTTCAAAACCTAAGAGACAGGACTCTTTCTTTGTATTCTTGGAGCAAAGTAAAGTGAACCCAGGACTAGAAAGATTTTATCAAGTAAGATATTGTAAACATACCTGAGGGAGATAACCTGGGAAGCCTAAAACGCCCGTTTCGGGGGAGGAACGGGCTTAATGAAAGCTCTACAATGAAGCCGAGTTTTTAAAACCCACTCCTTCCAAGTGCTTGAGCTCAGGCTGCAGCCAAATATTTGCATAAAGAGCTGCTGAAGGATTCCAGCTTCCTGGTTCATGACATTACAGCATGGATCGTTTTCAAAATTAACACCACCTCCCGTTCCAGCAGCGGCTGACTGCAGGCTCCCCATGGTCCGGCGTGCAGGAGTGAGTGTACCCTGGAAGGCAGGAGAGAGGTGTGGTGAGCGCTGCTTCCCAGGACAGACTCTCACAGCAATGCTGGGCCCTTTAAACTTTAAAGCCACCACCCAAAACCTAAAAAAAAAAAAAATTATTCGGTTAGTACAATTATCAACTTAATCGGAAAGTACAGGCTGCTTTACTTTGAAGTTAAAAAGAACAGTCTTATAAACTTGATGTATTTAACTGTAGTAGTGAAAAAAGCAACTTTTACAGAAAACAGTAAAAAAAAACTACAAAGAGGTGAAGTATTTACCAACCACTAACTAAACATAGATATGCTCTAGTTCACCGACAACAACTTTATGAAAATATTTTCTGTTTCAGTATTTCATAGCTAGTAAGAACAGGTGGATATTTTTAGCTCTCCAGGATTAACAAAAAGTTAGGCATTGTGTTTTTGGGGGGAAAACAAATTCCTAAGCCTATAAGCTGCCAGATAGTATATGAAAATTCTGAGGAAAATGACTGACTAAGTTATAGATAGTTGAGACTAAATAAATGTTAGTCCTTATTAATTTTAAATTAAATGATTTAATAAAACACTATATTATTTACAGAGTTTTCTTGAACTGTTCATTTCTGTACTGTAAAAACCATTTAAATTCATTTTTATCAAGATTAATAACCTTTACAATGTAAGTGGGAGACTCTGACATTAGGGGAAGAAAATCCCCAAACAAAACTACAAATTGAACCTGAATAAAATATAGCATTGGTTGTATCTCACAAGAGCAAGGGATTTTTAGAAGAAAAAAATCTGGCTTACCTTAGAGCAGAAGGCAACAGAGTTCACGTCAAAATGTCTTAGCTTTCCCTTTAAAGAACTTTTATTTCACTTTGCTTTGTGGTCATTTTCTCGCTTTGACAGCTGTCCGGAGGCAACAGTGTCCACCTTTCAGACCCAGTCCCACCATCTCCTGCAGGTCAGTACAGCCAACCCGATGATTCCCTCAAAAACTCTTCCAAGAAGTCCATCTCGAGAGTCTTTCAGTACTTGATTCAGGAGTTAGGAAAGGCACCACCATTTAATTGGAATCCAACCAATCAGAAGGTGAAAAAAGGCATAGTGACTCCAAACACTAGCCCAGCAGGGAAACAAGTGCAAAACTGTGTCCTCACTTTGGAACTGTCTGCTCTGTCCCAAAGCTTACTCTTCACTTTTGTTCCAGGTCCTCACCTCCAGGTAACCAAACTGGATTAAGAGATCAGAAACCTGTTTTCAGAAAGCTGTTATCTTTGTTAGGGCACTATTAGATGGATACAGACATCCCAAGGCCCTAGAATAATGCCTCGGCTCTGGTTTCCTTTAGCTCCCAGCTGACAGGGGCTTCCTTCCCCTTTCCTTTCTCTCTTCCCAGAAAGCAGTTCCAACAGGTGCAAGTTTTCTCAGCCCATTACAAATAAGTCTATTACATAAACACTCCTACCTATGCCACTCAACAGCTGAGAGATTAAAGAGGTCTTATGTGAGGAAACCTGTGCTCCTGGGAGCTCCCCACCGAACGTGCCACTTTAACTTAAATCTTAAAGGAGCCTCAAGACTTCAAAACCTCCTGTGTTCTGTCGTCCCTCTGAAGGACATACTTGAAACCTGTCTTCTTTGTGCATTTAAGGGTAATACTCAGAAATGGGGCCTCTTAATTTTAAAATGGAAAAGGTGTCATGTGTTTAGAACGATTCCTGTTTGACATTAACAACAGGCATTAATTCCACGATCAGGTTGACATAACATCCTTGCTTTTGATAATATGAAACAAGTAGTACTAACTTGTACTCTGCGTTCTCGGTCTCCATATTCATGCTTTGCGTTGCCATTTATAATATTCCTCAAAAATTAAGTTACTGAGTAAGTGTGAAAAGTTTAGGAAAGCATTAACCCTAGGTCAAGAGAGTTCTTTCCCATCCTTCACTTTTGGAAGTTTTCTTAAAGCCTCAAACCACTCTGGAAGTTACTTCTGAGAGCTGGGGTTCACTGGGACTGCAGATAGGGGCTGGGCATTGATGCTTTTACAGAAAGTGGAAGGTGGAAGTTTGAGCTATTATTTGACTGTCGGACAGAGGCCGGATCACTATTCTTTTCCTTTGTCTTAGCCACCCTTATAGCCAGTTTCTAGATAATTAACTAGGTTTATTTCACGGGGACTTGAATTAGCTAAGGCAACTGAAAAATCCAAATTGCTTGCCTATTTTCTTTGGTTTTAGAACTTCATAAGCCCCCTTTTCCCCTAAGTATCGTAAATATCAGAACATAGAGTAGAACTCCACTCAAATCTGTAAGTGCAATTGTTAAACAAAAACCTCTCTTTTCCTTTTTCTTCCAGGACTGTATTTTGAGCCTGAACCAGTTCCCTCCACGCCCAATTATTTCCAGCCCCAAGAATTTTCCAGTTGTGTTTCTTGTGAAGAAAACCCAAACTGCCTCGACCAGATCTTTGATTCCTACCTTCAGTCAGAGACACACCCGGACCCTTCGCTCAATTCCATGCAAAGTACTCCACACTATTTCCCAGACAGCTTCCAGGCTGCCCCTTTCTGCTTTAACCAGAGCCTGGTAATTTATCTCAGTCCTTTACAAAACCTATGATTGCTTGCTGTCGGGCAGAGAGTTTGCATCATCTCGTGAGATATACAAACCATATCAACAAGGAAATCATCCAGGAAACAAGCAAAGAACCATTTAAAACTCAATGGAGTTAAAAATAGCCACACATTGAAAGGCAAAAACACGTAATTATGATTTCCCAAGTCGGCTACTCCCAAGTACGTTGGTGTGTGGCAATAAAAAGAGGTTTCCCAGCAATAGTCACTTAATGTTTTCAAACTGTAAAGTTCAGGCATCTACTCACTGGCAATCAGTGATTTAAACAATGGCCCTTGGATTTTTGAGTTCTAGAAAATGGAACTAAGGTTGTGTTGATGCAGTACAAACTGTCACCTGATAAAAGTATTTTCGGTTTTACTTTAACACTGAATCGGCTCTGCTGACTAGTTGTCTTGATCTGATATAAGCACAAGAACTTACTTGGGTCTGAGATGGTGGGTAAAGAAATGAATCCCTAATAGTTGAAAACATTTGAACTCATTGTTCTTCATGGACCTTAAATATCTGAAAATGTGTTATCACTTAAAATGGAGTAAAATTTCCATTAGTAGATACCAATGGTTGAAGATGTCTTTTAGATACTCATATATATATATATATTTTTTTAAACCTTAAAAAGTGAATTTTCTAATGTAAATACTTTTTTCTTTTGGTTTGTCAAAAGTCTGGGTACGTATCTGACTAAATTTTAGGGGGATAGGAAATTAAACCCACAGGATGTGCATACAGGGCCCCGATCATCCAGTTCTCTTCCAGCTTCCAAGGTAGGCTTTTTCAGTAACGATTGTAGACCTGCTCAGGAGGAAGCCGGGGACAAGACTTTGGTGACCATAGCAGTAGTTTCTAGTCTTGGAGTCTCCCAGGCGCTGGCTCAGTGAAGATCCCGGTTCTACCTGTGCCTGTTCACCTTGTTCTCCACAGTCAAGGGTGTGGAGGAACATCCACAGTGCCACCTGCAGCTCATAATGTGGCACAGAGCAGGATTTGAGGTGCAGGTGACTTGAAGCACAATGGGAGTTTGTGGTTTAAGAGCAAAGCATCCTCTAAAGTATGCTTATAACAAAGGAAGCCAGTGAAGCAAGACAATTTATTGTTGGGAAAGAAATAGGTAAACACAGAAGGTGGTGTCATGAAATCACGCAGTCAGCAATTAAAATTACTTCTGCAGACTTGGGCTGGGTGTTTTGTTGTGCTTTTCTTTTTCTTTCTTTCTTTCTTTTTTTTTTTCCCTTAATGTTCTTACTCGGCATTCATAAATCCACTCTATTCAGTTCTTTTAATCCTGTCTAAGTTATCAAGCTTTTTTTGTTCCTTGGTTTTCATCTCTCTAGACCCCAGGATCGTCTTCGGATTCCTCCACACTCTCTGGATCCTTAGACTACAGTTACTCTCCTGCTCAGCTCCCTTCATATGCTCCGGAGAATTACAACTCTCCCCCTTCTCTGGACACCAGGAACTGTGGCTATTCCTCAGAAGACTGCTCCTACCCTCACCTGCCCTCGCACACTCAGTGCGACCCCTTCTCCTCTGCCACCGCCTCCGTCTGCTGCTGTGCTTCCTGTGAGGCAGAGCACTTGGACCCCTTCAGAGTTTCAGAGTATTTTTCCCACCCCAGCACAGACTATGGGAACTTCGCTCCCTCAGCAGCAGCCACCAGTGATTTCTATCAGAGGGGAGCCAACTGGGACATCTGCTATAGTTAATAGAAATTACATTAACTTGGGACATGGCGAACTTGCATCTTTTTTTTACCACCTCGAGATGGCGACTTGATCTACGCAACCTACTAACCAGATGTCACAGGCACAGTTTACAGGTCACCATGTTCGATGTTCTGACACTAATTTAGACATTAGTATGACGTCCTCACACGCAGTCATAGTGCCACTTCTCCTATGTATGTTACCGTTAAAGGTTTTATAGGGAACGTTCAATAGTTTTCTGTGTAACGAACAAATTCCAGTTTTTTTTTAAACCAATAAATAATTTTGTATTATTTAAAGTTGGCTTTTCTTTTCTAATTTTCCAATAGTCTTTTCCCGATTGCTTTGAATCATGTCAACTAATTCCGGAAATCACGAATTAGACTTTGGTATTTACTCTCACTAGTTAATGAATTGGAAACCGTCTTAACGTGGTGAGGTGCCTTGGCTCCTGTGGGGCTGGAAGGCAGACACAGCTCTAACTGTCAAGGAGGGAAAGTCAGCCTCCCCTCTAACATCTTAGAGCAACATCAGAGAAAGATATTTATGAATCGTGAGTTTTTCGGTGGGGGAGGGTATAGCTCAGTGGTAGAGTGTGTGCTTAGCGTGCACCAGGTCCTGGGTTCAATCCCCAGTACCTCCATTAAATAAATAAATAAATAAATACATAAACCTAATTATTCCTCCCTCTAAAAAAATTTAAAACGAACAAAGAAAATCATGAGTTTCTCATCTCTAACAGTAGTCCATGAAAGGTTCATTTGACCAAAAAGTACATCTTTTCCACAGCAATGTTAACCTGTAGATAAGTCTTTTCATTTCTGAAATCCTGTTTTGTAAGGGGGGGAGGGTATAGCTCAAGTGGCAGAGTGCATGCTTAGCATGCATGAGGTCCTAGGTTCAATCCCTGGTATCTCCTCTAAAAATAAATAGACCTAATTACCTCCCCCCCACACACACACACACAGAAACAAACACAACAACAACAAAGATGAATTAAAAACAAGAAATGACCAAAATTACTGTTTTGTAAAATTTGGGGGCCAATACTTCATCTTCTTTCTCTTGAGAGCTCCCATGCAGCTGATGCAACAAAAGGCTTCGAATTATTTGCTACTTTTTCTTTCTGAATTTCTGCTTTAGGTCCCTCAGTAGGCATCACTTATGTTTACAGACTGATTTATAGGACTGACCATGCTGTTTACAACTGAGTTTCAATATTTACTTCCTCTGATCAATTTATTTGAATAAGGCCAACTGTCTTTCAAGGTGGTGAGGAGTTACTTAAGCTATCTCTGCTAGGCTATACTGTTAAATGCTGTTTGCTAAGGACATTAAGGTACAGGACTTCATCCCTGCAGTGACGTCTGGGGGACATTTTCTACGACCTAAGGTTCAGCGCAATAGCAGCAATCCTGGTACCATGGGCACTGGCCCAGCTACCATTCTCTGAGCCCTTCCCATGTGCCAGAATTGTCTGCGGGTTTTCTTACACAGCATCTCATTTAATCTTCACAACAACATTGATAGCAAAATGGGGAGTTGGAGGCTCAGAGAAGTTAAGTCACCAGCCCCATGTCACCCAGCCAGTAAGTTCCTGAGCTTGGGTCTGAAAAACACCAAAGTGGTGCTTCCTACTCTCCCCTGACGAAAAGTTGGAGTTCCCACTTGTGAAAGACTGCTCAGGAACCTGAGTCTTAGCCTCCACTAAACCCCAGCTTCCCAGCACACACAAAGCTGTGTCCCCATCACAAGTAGTCAGAGCTCCCCAGATGGGTCGGACTGTCCACAGGATATCAAGCGGCCACGCACAAGAGCGGCCAGCGTCCCCCACTTTGGGAGCCAAGGGGAAGAAGCTGACCAACCACCACCTCCGTGGGCCTCTTTCTACCAGGAGACAGATTTGTTTTCAAAGGACACCGACCGACTGTCGCCTCCCTGGAGACTCCACTAAGGCTCGGGCAAACAAGGACAAGCTGGTACCTGCCTCCTGGGACAGATGTGCCAGGGCACCAGAACAATTCCTGCCTTTCTAGGATGCCAATAAAACTAAATTTGTAATAGTTTAGAACCAAACCGAACTGGCCCGTTGTCAACTAGTGTCTGTTCACCCAACCCAAAGCCTCTGCACACACTCCACCCCACCCCCAGCCACTGTCCCAAAGGGGCAAAGAGCAGAATACTCACAGATGTCCAGCGTTTGGCACCAAAATCTCTCTTTCCTGGATGCCATGCTTTTTTTTATTTTCGTGCCCCACTTCTATCCTCTGCCTTCTGAGTCAGTGATCTTGCAGCTCTCCCAGAGATCACATCCCACCTCCCAGTTTCTTGTTCTTCTTTTTTTTTAATATTTTATTCATTTACTATTGTATCATTTTATTTTATTTTATCTTGGTGGGGGGAGGTAATTAGGTTTTTATTTCTTTTTAGAGGAGGTACTGGGTATTGAACCCAGGACCTCAAGCATGCTAAGTATGCACTCTACCACTTGAGCTATAGCCTCCCCTCTTTTGTTCTTTCTTCACAAGCCCCTTAGTATTTTCCTAAGTCTAGCATGAAAAGAAAAGACTCATTTCAAAATGTGAGACAGGAGCTACTGTGCATTACAATGACTAACTTCACCTTCAAATGGTCTTTAAGAAACATTGCAGACATTTGGGCCACAGATCGCCTGGTACGTTGCAAAGTCGGTGGACACAGCCCACCCAGTCTCTTCACCATTACAGCTCACGCCACGTGGCTCACGAGCCCAGCAGCAACAGAGACAATCTCAAATGCTTCTCATCAGCCTACGTCTGGGAATTTGGATAAAATTCAGGTGCTCATGCATCAGTGTGAGAAAGTGCCATCAGTAAGTCTGTGGTCGGGCCCAGGCTCCGGTCACTTTAAATGTGCCTAAGTTGACTCTGCTGTAAATGGTCCTCCAGCCACACTTGAGAAACACTGATATTCAATGTCTGGATTGTTCACAAATAGTAACCTAGAAGGACAATAATGGTAGCTCACGCAGACTGAACTCTTTCTGCAGGCCAGGCCAGTGGACACTATCTCATGTAATCCTCACACAAGCACACGGGACAGATACAATTATGGCTTTCATTTTTCTCAGTGATAAAACAGCGGCCGGGAGAGATGCAATAACTTGCCCAAGGTCATATGACCTGTAAGTCAGGATAAGGGCTCTCCAGTCGGGTTATCTGATGCCACAGGCAGAACTCCCAACAGTCTCAGTAGACTTTCCATGCAGTATACCTGGAGTTACAATCTATTTGGCATTTGGTCTTTTGCCTTAAAAGTCACGTGTGGATCTGCACCTGTACACCAATAGCCAGTTCCTCATACCACAGAGGCATTTAATATGATTATAAGTGGAAGTTAGAACGAATGAACAATTTTGTTATCTGGAACCGTTAGAAAGATTAATAAAACAGAATACTCATTATGTGCTTACTGTGTGCAAGACTGATTACATGCCTTCAAAGCCCACTCCCAAGTTTAAAAAAGGATGCAGATTTTAAAAATTGAAGACTGGGAGGATGGGCACGGACTGATTTTCAAAATCTAGAGAAATTCACATTAGGGGTCAAGCCTTAAAGCCTGAGAGAGATAAGAGACAAAAGTTTAAAGTAGGAAACATTTGGAAACTATTACCTGAAGCGATGGCCCAGAGCCATGCCATTTGGCAGCTGGCCTGAAACTGCAGGTGGTCATGAGAGAGCAAAGCTAGATAAGGGTATTTGCAGTGATGGAGCCAGGGGCGGGGATGGGGCGGGGGGCGGCAGCTCAGCGATGTTTTTTGATAGAGAATGTTTTTCCAAATCATTATTCAGTCTAGAAAGATGAAGGCCAAAAAGAGTTAGAATCAAAGCCGATGAAAATTGTGAACATCATAGACGAAAATAAACACAAACTTGCCATCGTCTCTAAATCCTCAAACCCTACAAAGATGCTGCACATCGTGGCAGGGCTGCTGGGGAAAGTTAACCCTCACCCTGCCTCCCTTCCTCTTACAAATGAAGGGATGTAGATGCCTGGCCTAAGAAATGAGATTTGGTCTGGTGGGGGCAGGGCGGGGGTACCTCAAACCCCTAGTGGCTAGATTTTTAGTGTGGCAAGGGGGTGGGGGGACGTCCAGGGCTACGTGGCTCTGTGCTTTAAAAGGCAGGGATAGTGGGGAGAGGGCCTCGCTCAGTGGTAGAGTGGGTGCTTAGCATGCATGAGGTCCTGGGTTCAGGCCCCAGTACCTCCTTTAAATAATATTAAACCTAATTACCTCCCTACCCCGCCAAAATAAAATAATTGAGTAATAAATAAATTAAGTATTTTTTAAAAGGCAGGGAAAGTAAGCCCGTTTTCTATGCTCCAACTGGCCTCCAAGCAAGATGTAGGTGCTGAAGGATGAACAAATCTGGGAGGACACAGCTCTGCATAAAAATGAAGCTTCAGACTCATGGAGGGCCAGAATCTGTGTCCATTTAGCTTACTATGGACAGAGAACAAGCAGTTGGTCTTTGGAAAGTGTGTGGCATGTGTGTACCCATTCACTGCCACGTGGGTAATCAGGAGGAAGGAGGATATACTTGCCTTTCTCCTGTCAGGACTAGCCCTGGAGTGTCAAAACTCACCTGGGGTTGACCTCCCGAAGCCCACCCTCTTCCTGCACTGTGTAATTCATGGTTGAATAAGCCAGATTTTGAGAAGAGCTCTGTGGGGGTGACTCAAGTCCTAGGATTGCCCTGATGAACAGAAGAGACCAGTTTGTGGGTGACACTCCCCCTAAAGATGGGAAGAGTAAGAATTTCACTGTGGCTGTGCAAAGAAGGAGGGGTTCTCTGGCAAGAGGGCTCATCAGAGGACAGGGGATCTAGAATAAGAACTGGTGTGTGTGAATCTTTCCCCTCCTACATTGTAATTCCTGCTGGTGAAGCCCAATGGTTCAGGAAAGTCTGGTTCTCCATTGAGCTTCAGGTGGAAGTACAGAGGATAAAGTGAAGAGATTTTAAAGGGAAACCTGCCCAATTCACCCCTATCTGCTGAGACCTGGGCTGAGCTGGCAGCATCTAATGCAGGGGCTCGTGGTCCAAGGCAAACAGAAAATGATCTGCAGCCAGTGAGTGGCAGCCATGGCACAGGCGAGAATCATAGAAAAGGGCATCAATCAGAAGCAGCAGTTCCAAATCAAAACTACAATGGGGAATCACCTCCCGCTGGTCAGAGTGGCCATCGTTCAAAAGTCCACAAACCATAAATGCTGGAGAGGGTGTGGA